GGCCTCACACTCCCTCTGGCCTCCTCTGGTTCCTTTGGTTATCCCAGGGGAGGTGGGAGTCCTGGAACCAAGGAAAACCTCGAGCTTTGGCCCGGGGCTGGTGTTCCCAGCTGGTTCTTGTCTCATGACAATGACATTTGTGGTGTTCCTTTCCCCAGGAATAATTTCCACGTTTCTCCACGTGCATCCCTTTGGAGCCAGCATTGAGTACATCTGCTCCTACCTGCAGCGTCTGGACAGCAAGGTGGGTGTGGGGGCTGGACAGGGAGGACTGCAGGAATCTGTTCCCTGCAGGAATCTGCTGGAAGGGGTGAACTTTCTTGGAATCACATGATGGTTTGGGTGGGAAGGGATCTTAAAGCCCATGTTGTTCTACCCACCCTGCCATGGGCAGGGACACCACCTACTAGACCAGGTTGCCCAAAGCAGCTCAGCTTTGGGGTTCACCACTAACCCATGTCCCCAAGTGCAACATCCACATGGCTTTTAAATCCCTCCAGGGATGGGGACTGCACCACTGCCTTGGGCAGGGAAAAATCTCCATCTCATACGTATTTCTGTTTATTCTGTTGAAGTTTGCTGCCTTTGGGCAGTTTCCCTTTATTTTCCTTACCCTTATGACCTCCGAGGAGAGGAGCAAACAACCATCTTGTACATCAAACGTCTCACACCCTGTTTGTGTGTGTTTTCTCTAAACTGAGCATTCACTCTGTCTCTGAGCAAAGTTCTTGGGTTTTTTTGATCCTGTCACCCTTCCCTGGGCCTGTTCTGTCTCAGATCCTGTTGCTGGGATCCTTTTTAGGGGGTGCTGTGCAGGGCTGTGCACCGCAGAAGCACCGGAGCCCAGCCCTTGCTTAGGGGGTTTTTGGGAAGAGAGGTGTCAATCCCTGGGTGTGGGGTGACTGAGGGCAGTGACCAGCCATGCTCCTGCTTTTCCCGTGGCACAATATGGAGCTGCTGTGTCCTGCAGAATTCCCGTGTCCTGCTGGCTTCACACTCCTCTTTTGGAGTAAATGGGAGCAACTGTGCAAAGGCTTTCGGATGTTCAAGGGAATTTCACCCCACTCCTCTACTGTCCCTCAGTTGTCTTCCTTATAGAGCCCCAGGAACAGGAGGCTCACCAACATGGGAATCATCTCTTGGGACTGGAACTTTTCCAGCTGCTTGTGTTTATAACTCAGTGTTTAATTTACCCTGTTCTAAGGAAACACGACTGCCTGGCCTGGCTCACTGCAGCCCTACAAAGACAGAGTTAATAATTTATCTCCTCATTCTAGCTCGGAATTTGTCTGTGAGGCCAACAGCTGCCTTTATTTTTGTTTGGAGCTCTTATAAAAATGCCATCATAGCATTCAGCTGCCTTCTGGCACTTCCTCTTTGGAATCTGCAGTGCAGAGCAGGGCTGCTGGAAGGTTCTGCTGCCAGCTTGGGAGAAAAGCCCTGTGCAGAGCCCAGCCTTGAACCTCTGCTGTGGCATCAGTGTCCTCTTGCTCGCTGATGCTCAGGGCTGTTGTGCCTGCTCCCCTGGAAGATTCTCCTCTTTGTCCTTTTGGTTCCTCATGAGCTCTTCTGTCTCCCTCTTCATTCTTGCAGGAGCTCAAATTAGTTTGGGTGTTATTCTTAAGTTCTAGCAGATCTTTGGGCCTGAGGTGAGGCAGGAGGAGAGGGGGTATCTGAAGGTACAACCTGGTTTCTTGAAGCTGCCAGCAGGAAAAGACAAGGAATATCTTTCCCCTGTTCCCTGCCCATCGGTCTCACCAAGAAGGTCAGCAGAGAGCACAGGAATTTAGGATCAAAAGTAGTTTGGAGCCATGAAACAGCCCTTCTGCAGCCCTGAAATGTAGCTTGGCAAGGCCTTGTGCTGACAAACTGCCCAAATCACCTGCTCAGGTTCCTTCTGTGCTCCGGTGCAACCCCAGTTGGCTCTGTTGGAGCAGCTCCTGCACCATCAAATATGTGGGAGTTAAGGTAAAAGTGCTCCCTGTTCGGTGACTTAAATACCTGGGAGGTTTTAATCCATTATCCACAGGGGAAAAAAATCCAGACAGTCCCTTTTCCCTGACTTCCAGTGTTCATCCCTGCAGCCATCTCGCCCCAAAGCAGGACAGCAGCACAACTCACTGTGTCCCAACATTGTCCCCACAAGCCCAGGGATAGCCTGGATGAACTTCAGCAATTAAACCATTGGAGTTTGAATGTCTCCAGTCGTCACAGGGCTTCCATCTCCATTTTCAGTCCTGTTTTCCCTGTGCTCCTACAGATCTGCACGGCGGAAGTGGAAGTTCTCATGACGCGACTCCAGAACACGTTCCGGCAGGAGCTGAGCGGGGTTGGGGCCAGCTTGGAGAAGAGGTGGAAGTTTTGTGGCTTTGATGGGTTGAAAATGACTTGAGCTTTGACTTAATGCTGAAAGCAGCAGGATATGGACACCGAGGAAACCCAGGATGCTGTTCCCCCTGTTCCTGATGATTCCCTCGCACGCTCCACGGCCTCGGGGTACAATGTGTAAGTGAAACAAAGTCTGGAGCCACCACTGGAAGAACCCTCAAGTTCTGCAGCTCCTTTGATCAGTTATTTGTTAATGGGCAAGTGCTGTTCAATATATTTGGGGGGGGGGGGTAAAAAAGCTCCTGCCTGACCCTTTGAAGCGCAGCGTGTTGACTCTGTTCTGCCAATGTTGTATGTGTTTGTGTGCCCAAATTCTTCCCCCTCAGCCTTCCTACTCCTAGGAACAGCCATGGACTGTCCTGAAGCAGCAACAAAGAGGCATTTTCTGGTTTCTAGATCACCAAAAGGGGGAGAAAAAAAAGGCATTTTTTAGACATTTCTATGAATAAAACCCAAGGTATGTTTAGATAGAAGATTCAAATGGCTCAGGGCTCTCAGAGCCGAGGAATTGGTTCTTTTTCATGCTGTTTTCTTTTGTTAGCAGTTAAGTTGAGGTGGGGGCAGAGCCTCTGGGAGCCAAGGGGGCATTCTGGCAGTGCCACTCGTGCTCTGGATCAGTCTGTAACAAATTTCTTACATGGGAAGGGTGTTCTATTTTCTGTGGATGAGAGTGGAGCAAAGAAGCTACATCAACCTGGGTTTTGGTGATTTTTACCACACGATTCTTCCACCCGCTTTGCTTCAGAGACCAAGCTCCAACCAGCACAGACTCCTCTACCCCTGAACCTTCCCAACACTGTTCCTCATGCTCCCAGTGCCTGCCAGGCTCCTCCCCAGCCCTCTGCAGAGGTTGGTGAGGTGCAGGGTAACAGCCTGCCCAGATATCCCTGTGGATTCTCCTGCCCTCCAGCAGATCCTCGCTCCCGCCCAGCCTGGTGTCACCTGCAGAGCTTACAGCCATTCCTTGAAGTATTCCCATTCTTCCAGGCATCCTGGCATGGTTTCTATGACGTCAACTGTCCCAGTTTTACAGCTGCACCCTTGCAGCCCCTCCTCTGTTCCCCACACCGTGGGCATTGGTGTAGGTGCCCTTAGCTGGGCTGTTGATGCCACCACGTTTCTGGGGGAGAAGCCCCAGTTCCTACGTGCCTGTTCTCGGGCTCTTCCCTCATTTCTGACCCATCCACAGTCCTTGTCTTTGCTCCTGGGGGTTCTCCACCCCCTGTCCCCCTGCCATGGCTGGGGTGCTGCCCACATGAGCACTGGGACACTTCAGGTGTCTCCAGCGTGGAGCAAACACCTGGTGTTGAAACCAACCCCTCACCAAAAAAACCCAAATCTGCTGGTGACACTGGGCTCTGAGTCAGGCACTGACCTGCTGGCCCTGCCTGTTCCTCCCCTCATCATTCCCTGCAGCTGGGAGGACAGAGGAGGGCACTACCTGTGCTCTGATCCCTTAGCCCTGAAGTCTCTCTGGATCCCTCAGGCTTCTTCCTGCAACTTCACCCTCTAACCTAGTGGAACCATCATCCTTGTCGTTGTTTCCACTGGCAGAGCCTGGTACCAGTTCTCCCAAGGCGCTGGGGGAGCTGGGATGGTCCTGGAGGAGACACACCTGTTGTGCCAGGTGGGAACCTGTCACTACATCCCCCCTGTCCCTTGGGGTCAGCCAGGTGGAGAGAGGACAGCGTGCTGTGTGCTCAGTGAGCCTGTCCTTGGGAAAATCAGGGCAGAAACTCCAGAACCAGAACTGTTTCAGAGCCCCAAGTGGCTGGAGCACACTGGAGCTGGGGCAGACATGGGATCAGTGGGATGAGTGGTCCCAAGGGTTGGATCTAACCCAGGGTGGGAGCTCACACAGCGCAAGGACTTGCTGGGTCCCAGCCTCTGTCAGCTGCAAGGTGGGAGCTGGGATGGGGATGGGCCACCCTGGGAGGACTGGGGCTGTCAGGGGGACCAGGCAGGTTGTTCCTGGGGAGAGTAGGAAGGGACAGAGCCAGGACCTACAGAGCAAGGGCTGGTGCTGTGAAAGCAAGTCAGGGCCAGAGCAGTGCGGGGTCCTGCTGCCTCCCCTCTCCCACCCTTCCCTAGCAGGGTCCTTTCAGAGGGACTGAGGTTTCCCCCAGGAGAAATCCATCCTGCAGATGGGCTCCCTGGCCAGCAGGGAGGCAGGTGAGGTGCCCCTGCAGGTGCCAAATGCTCTCTGTCTCCAGGGAGAGCTCAGTGGTCACCCCTAGAACTGGGGCAGCAGTGAGAGCCCTGCCCACAGCGTGCCTGGGTGCAGGGATGGTGACAGGGACCTTCCCACTGGGACCAGGCTGCTGCTCTCTCTGCTCCTGACACCCAGCACTTGCCACACAAGGAGCAGATGAAAACCCTTTAAGAGAATGCTCTGGATAGTTGTGTCCCTGCAGATGAATGCTGTATTTTTAAGGAATAAACATTTTTTATGGGCAAGTCTTGGCCCTGCTGCTTCCCTTGTTTTGTCTGGTGTTTGTTGCCTGCCAGGGAAGAGGAGGGGCTCCATCCCAGGTCCTCTGCCGTGCTGCATCCCAAGTCTTCCACCACCGTGGGACTTCACCTTCCTTGTGAATGTGGAGAGCTCCCTGCTCCCTCTGCAGCCTCTCTGATGATGTCTTCCCCGGACAGTGAATTTGGGATTCATGACCTCTCTCCTCCCTCAGAGCAGCTGGAGTTTGCAGATTGTGGCAGTGCTGGGGTGGATGTGGCTCAGCAGCACCACTTTCTACGGGTGACAGGGAGGGGCAGTGAGGTGATGGCAGAGAAAAGGGAACTGGGCAGCCGCCCCCCAGGGTGCAGCTGGCTCTGGGGGGTTCTGTGCCACGGCTGCATGTTTGGGAGGAAGCTACAAGTGGGGCTGTGGCCTCAAAATGGAGCTGCTGTGGGGAAGGGAGCAGGTGGTTGATGACTGGTGGCTGCTGGATCGGGAGAACCAGAGATCCCTTCAGCAGCAGGAAGGGCAGAGCAGAGGCCCAAACAAGCAGGAGGTGTCAAGGGTGAAAGGGAACCTGTGGATAACCCAGCTCCTCCTGGGGAAGGATGCTCTGGAGATGCAGAGCTGGCACAGGTTGCCCAGAGAAGCTGTGGCTACCCCATCCCTGGAAGTGTTCTAGGCCAGGTTGGACGGGGCTTGGAGCCACCTGGGCTGGTGGAAGGTGTCCCTGCCCGTGGCAGGGAGTGGAATGAGAGGAGCTTTAAGGTCCCTTCCAACCCAAGGAGCCTGTCTGTGGTTCCCAAGGAGCTTGTGGGTGTGTTAACAGGCAAGGAGGTGCCAATTTTGGGTGTTACACGTGTTTTGTGGGTCACTGTAGATTTGTGAGGCTCTGCAGGGTCTGCAATCCCCCAGGTACAACCTGTGAGCTGTAGATCCATCCCAGCAGGTCTGTGAGCTCCTCAGTGCCAGAGCTCTGCAGGGACTCTGCAGTCCCCCAGGCCGTGGTGGGTGTGGAGAGCATCCCTGTGCCCTGCCTGTGCCAGACCCCGCTGGAAACACGACCCGTGGGAAGATGCCGTGGTGGAGCAGTGGGAAGGTCTGCACGGAGAGCTGAGGTGGAAACCATCTGCTTGGCCCACACTGCCCAGTCCAGGCAGCACATTCCCAGCTCAGGTTCCACCTGCTGGAACAGCCAGCGCTCCAGTGGGTGTCCTGGTGCCACTGGATGGGAAAGCTCAGGATGGAAGGGATTGAGCAATGGTCGGTCCCTGCCAAGGCACAGTGTCCGGCGTGGGAAGCGTGGCTCCTTCCATCTAACCCTGCCCTCTCTCCACACGCTGCTTCTGGCTCTCGTTTCTTTTGGCAGAAAATTCACATTCTCATCCCCCCTCTCCTCCCCTCGGCTTCGCCGGCTCCTCTCCGGCACTTCTCCGCTTCTCCTCCTGCCTGTGGGCTGGGAAGGGCCCCCAGAGCCACGGTGGAGACGCTGCTGTGGAAGGAAGGAAGAGCCAGGAGCTCCGGGAGCTGCCGGTCCTGCTGTGAGAGGACACAGGGAAGGTAAATGTGGGCCCTTTGTTCCAGCTGGGAAGAGAGAAACTTCACTGCAGAAACCGGTGGAGCAGCCGCGGCTCCTTGGGAATGGAAGGGACGGCTTGACTGAGCCCTTCCCCGTGAGGATTCCTTAAGGAAGCCCGACTCGTGTTTTTGAGTTAGTGGGATTCCTGCTCCGGCATCCCCCTGCGAAGGAGGATTTGTGGGGCTCTGGCTTTGCCCGTGCTGTGAGCAGCATTTCCCTTCCTGTGGGGAGCCTGCCCAGGCTGAGGGAGCCCTCCTGTCCCACTGCAGGGCTCTGCAGGGATCACCCACCCCTGTCCCCAGCAGGGACACCCACTCCTGTCCCCAGCAGGGACACCCACCCCTGTCCCCAACAGGGACACTCACAGAGCTGCTGCTCTGCCGGGCTGGGGGTGCTGCTCCTCGTGTCACCTGTTCCCAGGGCATAAACCCACAGCTGGGGCAAGAACCAGGGGCAGGTGTTTGGGGTTAACTCCTGCAGGGTGAGTTTTGGGAGCGCCAGGGGCGGGCGCACATCGCTGGGCTCTTCTCATGGCGCCTGCGGTCGGGCAGATAAGCAGCAGCTTCTCCGGGCTTCTCCTTCCTGCCTTCCCTCCGCTGCTCCCTCTCCCAACCGGGATTCCTTCTCCTGCTCGCCCCGCATCCTCCGGGGCTGCACCCAGGCAGGGGCTGTGGCTCCGGGCTCTGCCGGAGTGCCGAGCTTCACCTGCACGAAGGTAATTCCCTTCGGGGTGTCTGTCCGGGGATTTGTCCGTCCGTCCAGCCGCACTGGAGCTGCTCCGTCCCGCCAGGAGCTCCCGACTGGCAGCGCTGCTGCTCCTCCTTCGCTCCTGGTGTGGCAGAGGCACAGCTGTCCCTGGCACACGGAGGTGCTCTCACCTGTCACAGGCCCAGGGGAGCAGGATGGGAGTTATAAAAACCCCTGTGCTGACTTTATTTTAGTCTGCCAGAGGGCAGGATTAGGTGGGGTATTGGGAAGGGTGTTCGGAGGGTGAGGGTGGGGGGCCCTGGCACAGGTTGCCCAGAGAAACTGTGGCTGCCCCATTCCTGGAAGTGTCCAAGGACAGGTTGGACGGGGCTTGGAGCAACCTGGGCTGGTGGAAGGTGTCCCTGCCCATGGCAGGGGGTGGGACTGGATGAACTTTAAGGTCTCTTCCAACCCAAACCAGCTTGGGATGCTGGGATGTAGCTGAAATTCCCTTCTGTTGTGCCCTTCTGGCAAACTCCAAACAACTATTTTATATTTATTTCCTTCTCAAGTTTATGTAACTTTCTAAATACCTCCAGGAATTGAAATTGGAAACCTGGCCAAAAGGAACCAGCCCCAGGGGCTGGGGGTGGGCGGCCAGCGCTGTGCTGGGGCTGACACGGGAGCCCTGCCCCACTCCCGGGTGCTTCACCCTCATCCCTGGAGACTTCCAGGCGTGTATTTTTCATTCTTGCCTCAAGGCCTCTTTGGGGAGGCTCCATTCACAGCCCGTACCCCGCCCTCGGTCCTGTCTTCCGTCTGCTGCTGCTCTTTGGACCGTGCCGGGTTGTGCCGGCTGCCAGGGCTGTGGCACAGGTGGCACCGGGCTGGAGCAGCCAGGTCAGTGTGGGGTGAGGAGCCACCTCCCTGTATGGGCTCCCCTGGAGGCTGCACACAACAGGGAGGGCTCCCCAAAGGTATGGGAGCAGGGCTGGGGTGTCGGCGTGGGGCTGTGGGCTGCGGTCCAGCCTGTGCTGGGGGTAAAGGGAGATCTGGTGACGTGCAGCTGTGATTTACAAGAGGTGAATCATAGAATCATGGAATTGTTTGGCTTGGGAGGGACCTCAAAGCTATTCTCGTTCCATGCAGCCACACCTTCCACTGGCTCAGGTTGCTCCAAGACCTGTCCAACCTGGCCTTGGACACTTCCAGGGACGGGGCAGCCACAGCTCATGCCTCATATATCTTGCAGGGAAGAATTTCTCCCTAATATCCAGTCTAAGTCTCTTCCCTTGATGCCCCCAAGGCCCTGCCTTGGAAAGTCGAAGTGGGATGGTGTGTCCAGGGCACCTGCAGCCCCACTGGCTCTTCAGAGAGGTGACAGAGGGACAAGTGTCTCCTGCAGAGACTCCCTGGGCTGTTTCCAGCAGCTTCTCTTCAAAAGCCGGCATCCCTGCCGTGTGCTCCTGACTCTTTCATTTCACACACGTGTGTTTTCCAGAGGACCTTTGTCTGTGCTGCTGTGCCAGGCCCCAGCCCTGGGATGCAGCCCGTGGCCCTGCAGAGCCTGTCGGAGCTGGAAAGGGCCAGCCTGCAGGAGCTCGCGCTGTACCGGCTGCAGGACAAGCTGCTCGTGGGGGATCTCAGCCTGGACAGAGGTACAGGGTGGGAGAGGATGGAAACTCAGCCCCAGGGAGGGCTGAGGCTGAGCCATTCGTGGTGCACGTCCCCGCTCCAGACTGTGGGATGCTGGTCATGGAAAGACGTTCGTGACACATTTTGGTCCTTTTTTTGGTTTTCATTCCTGCTCTGGTCTGAGCCCCAGAGGCTCACTCAGCCTTTGGAGGGGGTTTGCACATCCACAGGAGTGTGAGAATGTGACCCTGCCCGTGTCTGCCTTCAATTCCCCCCTAACCCAAACCAGATGTGACAGCTTGGCGAGGTCCCCACTGGGATTGTCTGAGCGCTGCTGGGATGGGATGGGCTTTGCTGTTTGGATCCATGTCCAGCACAAATTCCCGATGCTGGGAAGGGGCTTATGTGAGACTGGAAGAGGCGCTGGGAGATTAATGGGTGGATAAATTTAGGAGCTCCACAGGGACTGAGCACAGAGGCCCTGCCGGGGTTCCCAGGGCTGCTGTGTCCCCCCACCTCCCCTCAGCAAACCCAGCGAGCTGGGCGTCCACTGACTCCTTCCCACATTTCCTTGTTACCCCCTTGATGTGCCTCCTCTGCCCTGGGTCATATTTTGGCATCCCAGCAGGGCAGGGGGTGGCTCCAGCTCTCCACCTCTGGGGCCAGGGAGTACCAGCAGAGGGAGCTCAGAGTTTCCAGTCCCCCCCTCACTTCAGCAGGGCTGTCACCAGTACCAGGGCAGCTGGGGCTGGGACCTCCCCTGGATGGAATCCCCCCAGTCTCTGGGGACCTCTCCCAGGGATGGAGCATTTCCCAGCCTCGTCCTGGGCAGCGACACCTGAGTTTGGTTTCCTGTTTTAATTGCTGTTTGTAAGGTTTCACGCCATGAAACAAAACTTCATTCATGAAATGGCTTCAAGAAGAGCCCAACAGAGCTCCCCTCTCCCTCCCAGAGCTCCAGTTGCTCCAGGGCTGCAGCACCAGTCCCTGGTCCCTGGGGACTTTGACCACAAGCATCCTGGTTCTTTTTACATTTCACTTTATTTTGGGCTGTTGTGATCCCATTTGCAGTGACACCCTGCAGCAGTGGCTTCTCTAGGGACCAGTGCAGTGCCAAACCACCCCCCCAAACCCAGTATTTCCTTCCTGACTGGTCAATGTGCTGCTGGATAATTTTTGTTGGCTTCTACACTCGTGTTCCTCATTCCAGCTGTCACAGCTTTCCTCTAAATCTTACAAAATAACCCAAACAACTAGATCTAAGCTGCCCCTAGGAAGAGAATTGCTTAGGAATGAGGAGCACGAGCCAGAACAGGGTGATGTGTTCTTGAAGGATTTAGGGTGGGCAGTGACTGAATTGTCAGTTCATTGCTGCTGGATGTGCAACACGGGAGTCCTCCAGACCAGGATGGGATAGGTGACAGTGTTTTATCCAACTTTATATGTCTGTGCCCTCTAAAACATTCCCAAATGCCTTTCTGGACCTCATTCCTCCTGTAGTGCCATGAAGTCCTGGTACCTGAGTGCCAGTCCCTCCATCCCTTTACCTGGGGAGGATGATGCCCATTCCCAGGACTGTTCCCCAGGCATCCCATGGGACTCACGGATCTCTCAGGGCTGTGGCCATCACCACAGCATCCCCACACCCAGAGGCTGCAGAGAGACAGGTATCTGTGAGGAGAGCCCATGCTGAACCAGCCCCATGATCCTGGTGCTGAACCTTCCCCTTCTCTTCCCCTCCTAGATGGATCCAAAGGCAGTAAATCCATCCGGCAGAAGCTGGAGAGCTTCTCAAAGGAGAGGAAAGGTGAGCAGCCTCCCCATTCCCTGGGGTTTGGTCCCTGCTTTCAAGTGGAATTGGTGAGTTTTGGTGGGGTGAGCTGGGAGGTCACTTCATCCCAGCTTGCTTTGCTGTTTTTGGAGTGAGGTGGAACAGCACGAGCGTGATGGAGCCTGGAAGGATGGGATATGTGTGCACATAAACATGCATTTTCAAGCTGTGCACATATAAGTATTTCTATCTGCCCATTTTGCCCCAGTCTCGCTGCTTCCAGTTCCATTTTATCATTCCTTGAAGGATCTCAGTGACAGCCCCAGGGAGCCCACAATCCTAGAGCAGAGCCAGGCAGGAATGAGCTTCCCCACACCAGTGCAAAGCCAACTCAAGGAAACTATTGAAATTATTGTCTCATATTTTGCTAACTGGATGGATTTGTGGCTTGTGCTCCCAGGGCAGTGCAGAGTCTGGGGGTGAGGAGAGCTCTCCTTGCCAGAGGGATGGAGAGGGACGGTTATTTGGGAAGAATACCATTAATAATAATAATACCACTAATAATAATACATGTCAGCAGATGTAGCTGAGGCAAACCCTGTAGAAAACTGGAAGGTTAGAACTGGAAATGCTCTTCCCACCTGCTCCTGGGGGCAGGAAATCTGGGCTGAGTGCAGCTCCCTCACTGGTGATGCTTTTCCCTTTCTCCCATGCTCTTCCCCAGACTGCTCTCCCCACACCTTCGGGATCCCGCTCTCCCAAGTCATTGCCAACGACCGCGCCCACCGGCAGCTCCAGGAAGCCGTGGGGAAGAGTCGCCGGCTCTGCCTGGAGGTGGAGGCCACGGTGACCAGGTTTCGGGCTCAGAGGCAGAAGAAATCCGGGATGGGCCCAAGGTGTGTCCGAGCACCCGATGGGGGCTTCCCCGAGGAGCCGCTTTCCCCAAGTCTTCTGGACAAGAGCTCCTGGAGCCAGCGGAGGGTACGGCCCCAAAATAGGCTGTGATGGTGCTGTAGGATGGGGGGGGTCTGAACTCAGCAAGAAATGGGGTTTTCCTGGGTCTTTTCTTAACAAATGTGAGTCGGCTGTGCTCCAGGCAGGGCTGGTCCCAGGTTGCCCTCAGGGAAAGGAGGATGGCCCCGCTTCCCTTGGAGAGGGACTGTGAGGGGTGGGAGGCTCTTCACCAGCTGGGGTGAGCCAGGGTTACCAGGAGGACATTCAAGGGTTGGTTTATAATGGATATGGAGAAGAAATTCTCCCCTGTGAGGGTGGGGAGGCCCTGGCACAGGTTTCCCAGAGAAGCTGTGGCTGCCCCATCCCTGGCAGTGTCCTAGGCCAGGTTGGACAGGGCTTGGAGCATCCTGGGCTAGTGGAAGGTGTCCCTGCCCATGGCAGGGGGTGGAATGGGATGCTGCCTTTTCCCCCAAACCTCTGAGGTGACAGTGTGCACTGGCATCTGTGGGGTCATCCCTCTGCTCCGTCCCAGGGGGCCATGTCCGTGGATTCCATCACCGACCTGAGCGACAACGCGTCCAAGCTGCTGGAGGCGCTGCAGCTGTCCCACCCCCACGAGCTGGACCCACGGAGAATCCTGGGCAAGAAGAAGACGCTGAGCCTCAACCCCATCAGCTGGCAGGTCCCACGGATCGTGGACAGGTGCTGCACACACATTGAGACACACGGTAAGGGCGGGGGTGCCTCGGCAGGTCCCGGGAGAGGGAGGAAAAACTCACTGTGTGTGCTGGGCTGGGACATTCCAGCCTGGCCGTTCCCAGAGTGGGAGGAGGCAGCTGGTTTAGTGGGCGTGGATTCATTTGAAGGTTGGACCTGATGAGCTTGGAGTTCTTTTCCAACCTTAAATGATTCCACGATTCCTGGAGCAGGCCATGCTCCCAAAAGAGCCACCTGTGGAGAGTCCTCTGGGCTGGAAGCTGCATCAGAAGGGAATGTCACTGTGTGTATCAGTGACCATGTCTGGTGCCTTAACTCCCACTGCACATCCAGGCCCTCCCTCAGAGCGACTGTGGGGGTGAGATCTCCCCCCTTGCCAACAGACAGTCCCAGAAAACATCACATCTCCACAACCTTTCCTTTTCCCCACCCTGCCTGGAGAGGGAAGGGTGCACACGAGAACCCCTGCCATGGTGCTGAGGTGCTCCCAGGGCCAGCTGGGGAGGCAGGGATCCGTGGGGATGCACAGCACTAACCTGCCTGTCTCCCAGGTCTCCAAACAGTGGGAATCTTCCGCGTTGGGAGCTCCAAGAAAAGAGTTCAGCAGGTAAAGGGAGACTTTTACTGCGTCCTCGTGGCTGTACCACATCCAAGGGTCAGAGGCTTGTATGGATGGGGATGAATAGAGCAGGCACTGGTGTGGAGAGGTCTAAAACATCCCAGGTACATGCTGGATCACAGGCAGCCTGTATCCTGCTGCTGGGTCCTTCTCCCTGCCAGGAGACCAGCCCAGCTCCTTCCCTCCAGCCTGCCTTTGGCAGATGAGCCTCCATCCCCTGGCTGGCACTTCGGAGCCAAGGGCTCCAGCTGGTCCCATGGCCCATCCAAAGGGCAGCAGAAGGCTGCAGGGCTCTGACATGCCTTTTTGAGGAGCCCTGCTTTGAGGGGACACTGGGAGTAGCTGACCCTCATATCCTGCCATGGCAGTAGCCCTCCTGACAGGATGATTCCTCCAAAGAGTAAGAGCTGACCATTGCATTATTCTTTTCATTTCTTCCATCTCTAAGCTGAGGGAAGAGTTTGACCAAGGGCTGGATGTTTTTTGGATGAGCATCAAAGTGTTCATGATGTGGCTGCTCTGCTCAAAGAGTTTCTTCGGGATATGCCGGATTCCCTGATTCCCAGAGAGCTCTATGGAGCCTTCCTCAGCACAGCCAGTGAGTACCTGCAGAGCAGAGGCTGCACAGTCATGGAATGGGTTGGGTGAAGGGATCTTAAAGCCCACCTCATTCCACCTCCCTGCCATGGGCAGGGACACCTTCCACTATCTCAGGTTGCTCCAAGCCCTGTCCAACCTGCCCTTGGACACTTGCAGGGATGGATCCTTCCTCACCACCCTCCTTTTCCAAAATGGCTGGACAGTGGTGGGATGGGTGATGTGCTGCCTGGCACTGCCATGGGCAGTTACTCTCCTCTGTGGGTTTGGGGGATTTTTTAAAAACTGGATTAAAATAATCCCTTTGGACCAGGACAGACTTTGACTGTGGGGCTGTGCAATACCCAACACCATCACATCACAGCCCTTGCTGGGGTCTCCCATCCCGCGGGATGAAGGATGGGACACCAGCCTGGCTCCCTCCCAAGCATTTTTCCCATGGGTGTAGAGGAGGGCTGGAAGTGCCTGGTGGGCTGGAATCCTCACTAACAGCTGCTCTCCTGCCCAGCCATGGAGGGGCCAGCACAGCTGGATGCCCTCCAGCTGCTGCTCTTCCTGCTGCCCCCCTGCCACAGCGACACCCTGCACCGGCTCCTGCGCTTCCTGGGAGAGGTGGCCCGGCACGCCGAGCGCTCCTGGGATGCCGACGGCCGGGAGGTGAGGCTGATCCAAAGGGAACCTCTGCACGGGGAAGGGGCACTCAGCCTGCCGTGGTTAGAGCCGGGCAGAGCTGCTGCAAGCCTGGCTGAACCCTCTGGAAAAACCAAACCCACCGCAGAATCATTGAGGTTGGAAAAGCCCTCCGGGATCACCGAATCCAACCGGTGACTGATCCCCGCCTTGTCACCCAGACCAGAGCACTGAGGGCCACGTCCAGGCGTTCCTCCAGTCCACCTGCAGGGATGGGGACTCCACCACCTCCCTGGGCAGCCCCTTCCAATGGGTGACAACCCTTTCCAGGAAGAAATTCCTCCTGATGTCCAGCCTGAACCTCCCCTGGCACAGCCTGGGGCTATGTCCTCTTGTCCTGTTAAGACAGGATGAATCCCATGTCCATAACAGGCCTGTGTGGCTCAGGGTACCAAAACCCCCAGAGAGACCTGGCTGTGTGTCCATAGGCAGCGCAAGGGGCATTTTTTGTGGACCAATTCTGGTTTCCCACCTCCCAGTTCCATGAAGTCACTTGTGTGACTGTATATTGAAGTTCCTCTTGATTTCTCTGGGCAGCTCCATGATTCAGATGCTGGTTTTGTCCCATAATGGGAGATGATGTGGAAATATTGATCCTTGGTAGGGGCTGGGAATGTGAGACATGGGAATGAAGGCTCTGATGCAAGGAGGGGATGAGCGTGTGCTTCAGCACCTCAAACGCTTTGTGCTGGTCCTGACACCAGCTCAGAGAGGACCAAACTGGACCCAGACCATCACCCCACCCACCAGCTCATGTTCCTGCCCTGGGGTGGGTGGCAATATTCTGGGGCATCCCATGCTGGTACTTCCATAATCCGCAGTTTCCTTTTGTGCTTCCTTGCCAGGTTCCCGGGAATAAAATGACAGTTTCAAACCTGGCCACGGTCTTTGGTCCCAACATCCTGCAGAAGGAGAAGCCTGGAGAGAAAGATGCCAGTGCCCTGAACTTTGAGGACAGCGCTGCCATAATCCTGGTGCTCCAGAGGCTGATCGAGCACCACCAGGCCCTGTTCATGGTGGGTGAGGCTCCTCAGGGCAGCTCCTCCAGACCCCCCTGAACTCTCCCAGTGGCAGCAGAGCCAGGGGGTGTTCACAGCCCTGCTCAGGAGCAGGTGACTCGAGTGGGCTTTGGGAACACAGCTCATTCCTCACAGTGTAAATACGGATTTAGGGTGGCTCGTGGTGCCGTCGTAAGGGCAGAGCTGAGGGTTGTGCCGTGGAGATCCCCTCTTCTCTGTCACCTCCCACCCTGGTGACGTCTGACCGAGCTCCTCTGGGGCAGGGAACATCTGGCCAACAGCAGGGGTGGCACCTGGGGGCTGTTTCTCCCCCAGACTCCCAGCGAGGGGGGAAAGAAGAGTTAAAATGGGAGAGCCTAGAAGAGGGAAGGAGCTGGAAGAGAATGGCATGGGGTGGAGTGCCAAAGCCTCAGGAAGGTGTGGGGAAGATGTAACAGCAGGGAGAGCTGGTGAGGGTAGTGAGAGACCACTTCACATCACTTCAGATCCACTCTTGAGCAGGAGTCAGGCAGTGCTCATCTCATACTAGGGGATGCACTGCCCTGAGATTCCCAAAAGCTTTCAGAGTCATGTAAAGGCTCATATGGGAAGAAGAGAGCTCTGGGCCTCCAGACCAGCCAGATCAGGGCTCACTTCCAAGCCAGATCAGGCCTGCATCCAGCTGGGCTTTACTTTTTTTCTGGGGATGGGGAGCTGTGACCTCTCCAGGTCCTGTCCCAGTACCATCATCAGGGGAAGGTTTTTGTCCCTGTCAGAGGTGCCCCTGCTGCACCTCGGTCTGTGCCCATCCTCTGGGAAGGGTCTGGCTCCATCCTCTCTCCACCCTCCCACAGGACACTTGCAGGCAGCAAGACCCCTGCAGGTCTATGGGAATGGGACATTTCAGTCAAAAAGCTTCATAGCAATTTTGGGGGTCTGCAGGGAGCCAAAAGCCCAGGCTTGCTGGAGAAAAAGCAGGGGCTGAGATCCTGTAGAGCCCGGGAGGTGTGTGGGATGTGACACCAACGTGGTGTGTCCGGGACCATGATGTGTTGTCCTGGAGTCCTTCCACTGTCCTTGGCTGCCTCTGCTCTCCCTCCTGCCGAGGGGGAACCCTGTGAGCGAGGGTGTCCGTGTGTGCCCCCAGGTCTCTCCAGAGATGCAGTGTGACATCCTGAGGAGGCTGTTCCAGACAGATCCCGATGTCATTGACTACCTGCTGCGCAGGAAGTTCCCTGCTGTGCCGTAAGTCCCCCACGAGGCTCCTCCCTGCACGGGGCCAACCCCGCTGATCTTCCTCCAGCCTTCCTCTTCCCTCCACTGCTTCTGGTCACGACCTCCCCGGCAAAAGCCCTTCACATCCCAGCTTTCCTGTCCCTCAGAGCTCCCTGTTCTGCTTGTTTCCTCCTCCAGTTCCCTCCAGAGCACCAGAATCCCTTCTTGTCCAGCCCCCTCCCCTGCTCCTGCCTCTCGGGGTTGCACGCTGATACCTGCTCCATGTTCAGCCTTCTCCAAATCTTCTTTGCCCTTGGTGTCCACATTTCCATGCATTTTTTTGCCATGTCCTGTGTGGCTGTGCATCCACTTTTAGGCTCCAAGATGGGACAGTCCCACTGAGGCTCAGAATCGGAGCTCATGCCCTTCCCTGTGATTAAATACAGTGGGATTAAATACAGATTAAACACCTCAAGTCCCATAAACTGGGCCCACCCTCAGAGCACCTAATGCAGGAGGGGGTTTGCTTCCTGGGGTGGGAATCAGGGGATTCCTGGAAGCAGGGGAAGCTCAGGAGCCTTTGGTCTCCTGGTAGAGCTGGTGACTCTTCAGCAAACAGGGACTGTCTTGTGTGAAGAGTTTTCCTGGACGACAGGCCACATCCAGGCCAGGTTGGGCAGGGTTTGGAGCAACCTAGATTAGATGGTCTTCAAAGTCCCTTCCAACCCAACTGCTGGATTCTCTGATCCGTGGTAGTGTTCCTTACCTGGCTTCACATTCCCTTTGGGGCTGTCCAGAGATGGCAGTCTTTGGGATCACTGCTAGAGGACATCTGGGAGTGGAGTTGGCAACAGAAGCATTTGCAATGAGCATCTCTCTCTTTTTTTTGGCTTCCTTAGGCACCTGGAGCGTGAGGGTTCCGCAGAGGGCCGCTCTCCCTCGGCACTGCCCGGCTGGACACGCAGCCTGGAGAGCAGCTCGGTCTCCTCGGAGCTCTACAGCAACGTCTCATTCCTGAACCTGCACGTTGGCATCTAGTGAGCCCTGGCCAGGCCCTCTGGACAACCTGGGCAGCCTTTCCCAGCCAAAACCAGTCCTCTGCCCCACTTTGGGGGGGAAAAGCCCTGTGCCTGTGCCGTGGGGGTGCGTGTGTGGGGCAGAGCTGTGCTCGGGAGCCACCAGCACGGGCTGTCACCCCCTTGCAGGTCCAAAGCACTGCCGTGCCATCTGCTCCACTGGAGTTTGGGGAATGAGATTCCCATTCCCAGAGCTGAGGGGACTGGAGCGTCCGTCTTTCGAGGGAAGGCTGAGGGAGCTGGGACTGTTCAGCCTGGAGAAGAGACAACTCTTCCCCCAAAGGGACCTTATGGATGTATCCAAGTGCTTTTGCAAGGGCCTGGAGTGACAGGACAAGGGGGAATGGCTTCCTGCTGCCAGAGTGCAGGGTTAGGTGGGATACTGGGAAGAAATTCTTCCTTGTGAGGATGGTAAGGCCCTGGCACAGGTTACCCAGAGAAGCTGCCATGGGCAAGGACACCTTCCACTGGACCAGGTTGCTTCCACGCCCCATCCAGCCTGGTCCTGAACACTTCCAGGGATGAGGCAGCCACAGCAGAGGCATGAAAGAATACTTTTGCAACCAAAACCAAGCTGGAGTGTCTGGTGGAACCGCAGCTCAGGGAGGGATGGGGATGTTTAAAGGACCAAAGCTCCATCAGTTGTTCTCTCCATGCAGGTTTTCCTGCATTCACATCCAGAGCTGGTCCATGGATGATGGTCCATGATTTTAGATCATCTTTAAGGTTCTTTCCAACCCAAAACATTGTGAGAGGTGGAATGGGGAGCTGCAGCCAGGGCCAGCTCTCCAGGAAGCTTTGGGCTGGTGGGATGCTCCCGTGTGTCACAGCTCTGGGCACATCTTGTAGCACCAAGAGGATGATGAAGGACTGGGTGACCCTTTCTGTGCTGCTGGCCTGAGAGGGAAGATGGGTTCCATATTCTGCCACAGCCTGTGCCCAGTACTGGTCTGAAGGCACCAGAGCCCTGGGGCTGGGCTCTTATTTTGGAAAGGTCCCTTCCCTGCAGATGGGTACAGTTGGGATGGGTGGGGAAGTATTTCCTGGAGGAGTGTGTGCTGTCGAGATAGCTGGTGAGACCTCCCGGCTCTCTGGTCTCTGATAAGCTCCAGAGGCCAGCAGTGCTGTTGAGTCTGTGCCAATGGATAAGCCAGGACACCACAGGGCTGCTGAAGGTTCCTGAGGTCATCAGCACACCCGAGTGTCCACTGTGACACCAACACCGTGTCCAGTGGCTGGGCTGGGTGGGATTGTACCTCCTGCAAGAGCAGCCCCTCTGGGGGCCTTCCACATCCTTTCTTAGGGTGGTAAAATAACAGCACAGGTTGCCCAGAGCAGCTGTGGCTGCCCCATCCTGGAAGTGTTCCAAGGCCAGGTTGGACAGGGCTTGGAGCAACCTGGGCTAGTGGAAGGTGTCCCTGCCCACAGCAGGGGGTGGCACTGGATGGGTTTTAAGGTCCCTTCCAACCCAAATCCTTCCATGACTCCATGATTCCGTGGATGAGACAGGGATGCTGACACACGAGGCAGCTCTTTGCAGGAAAAGTCCTGTTGAAATTCACTTCCCCAGCGCCACAAAGGGGGCAGGGAGGGCACGTGGGGCTCACTGGGAAGCGCCATCTTTCCCCTTTTACTACCAAAACCATAAAAATAACTGTAGGGTGTTTCTCCCACCACATCAGAAGCCTAAAACTGCTCAGTGCCGGTGGGATATTGCTGGAAACTCCACTTGAGGGCAGCCCGGCACCGGCCTGGCCGTGGCCTCTTTGAGCTGCATGGACACTTTTCCACCCGAAGGAGCAGCCAGCTGGTGCTGCTGGAACACACCAGTGCTGGCTGAGAGCTGCTCTCCTTCAGCCTCACAAAATAAACCTGCTCCCCAGTCAGCTGCAGAGCTCATTCAGGGAGCCTTGGCACTGCTCCGAAGAGTCCAGTGGCTTTTGCCCTGCTCTGGGTTCTGTTCTCGTGGGCTCTTTTCCCTGGTTGTTGGGGGGGTGTTAATGTTTGGGGGTGTCTGTTGTTTTTGAGGGGGTGGTGAGTGCCGGGGGAGGGTGGTTGCTGTTTTGGAGGGTGCTGACTGTTGTGGGTGGTTGCTATTTTGGGGGCAGTTGCTGCTGTTGGGGTGGTTCTGACACCAACCCCCCCGAAAACCATCCTGAAGCACTCAGCACTGGTGGGGTTTCACATCTTAGGGCTTGTGTGAAGGGAACAGCAACGAGTTTCTGCAGGAGTGGGATCAACTGCTCGGATTCATGAGTGATTTTAGGGTCAACAGCAACGAAAGCAGGGTCCATCCTCTTCTTTTTTTTTAATTCTCTGTCTGCCCTCACGCTGCTGAGCAGGATCCAGGGTGCTGCCCAGACACACAGCTCTGGGCTTGACAGCTCACTGGGAAAGACTGGAGGAGAAAATCATGGAATTGTTGAGGTCGGAAAAGCCCTCCAAGACTATCCAAGTTCAACTGCTCCCACAGCACTGCCAAGGCCACCACTAACCCACGTCCACAAGTGCCACATCCACGTGGCTTTTAAATTCTTCTAGGAAAGGGGACTCCACCACTGCCCTGGGCAGCTTGTGCCAGGGATAGCCAACCTAAACCTTCCCTGGCACGACGTGAGGCCGTTTTCCCCTTGTTCCCTGGGAGCAGAGCCCGACTCCCCCCTGCTCCACCCTCCTCTCCGGGGTGTGTAGAGAGCTCAGCTCTCCCCCCGAGCTCGGGTACGGACGGGGGGTGACCCGGGACCACCCGGGATCCCCTGGGAGCGCCCATTGGGGCGGAGCCTCTTGGAGGCCCCGCCCAGACCCCGCCCACCCCATCACCGGTTTGGGGCCAAAACCGCCGGGAGCGGGACCCGCTGGGACCGGAGCGCAGGGAGCGGAGCGGAGCTAGAGCAGAGCCCACCCCACCCCACCGAGCAGCCGGTGAGTGCAGAGCGGAGCCATCTCCTCGGACCCCCTCCCGGATCCCCCCGCCGCCCGCAGGGACTCTCCTCCTGCATTCCCCCAACACCGCACTGCGCATCCCGTCGGGAATCCCCGGGAGCGGGATGCAGCCCGGGGCTCCCGGACTGTCCTGGCCGGGGATTGTGGTCCCTTCCACCTCCCATCCAGGCTGCCCAGAGAAGCTGTGGCTGCCCCATCCCTGGAAGTGTTCAAGGCCAATTTGGACAGGGCTTGGAGTAGCCTGGGCTAGTGGAAGGTGTCCCTGCCCATGGCAGGGGGTGGAACTGGATGGGCTTTAAGGTGCTTCCCACCCAAACCATTCCGGGATTCTATCCAGCCTCTTACCTGGATAGGACCATCTGGGTTGGATGCCAGCTCAGCTGTGGGATGAGCTGGAGGGATGTCCAAGATTCCCTAGGAGCTGGACAACCTCGGAGCAAGGCTGGGAACAGCCTGCAGAGAGGGGACCTGGAGTCTGGCTCTGTCCCGTGCCCAGCCTGGGGCTGCTCCCAAGAGGGTCTTTATGGGGCTGCCTGCAGGGTGGGTGCTCCAACACCCCCTTCTTGCCCCCCAGCGATGGCTGAGGAGCTCAGTGACCTGCTGAGAGAGTTTGATGAGGTGATGGAGGACTTTGACCGGGGCCCTGCGTGTCAGTACCAGCAGCACCTGGAAGAGCTGAAGAGGAAAGCGGGACACAGCGTGTATGACAGCGGCATTGATGAGCTGGAGAGTGAGTCTGGGGCTGGGGAATGGCATTGATGAGCTGGAGAGTGAGTCTGGGGCTGGGGAATGGCATTAGATGAGCTGGAGAGTGAGCCTGGGGCTGGGGAATGAGGAGCCATGGGTGATGATGGTGTCTGTTGGGTGTCTGTCTGTGGGAGCTCTGGGGTTCCTCCATGTAAAACCACTGAGTTTCCTGCTGATGCTGCCTGACTCATCCCTGGTGGGCTGGATGAGCCACACTGTGGGGATGACCGCTGAATCCTGGGCCCAGGACCTGCCAACATCTGCCAGGCCTCCTTCTGCCAGGCTGGCTGCTGCACAACTGTGGGAGGCTTGGGATAAGTGGGAGCTCAGAGGGATCCAATTCCCTGTAATAACCCTGAGAGTCCTCGTGACTGTGCCCAGACAGCCCCTTGTGATCTTTGGCCCAAGAAAGAAGCTCAGTTGCCTTTTTTCCAAGCATTCCTGGTACCAGGGGAAGAGCAGGTGGGCTGTCCAAGAACGAGGGAGGATCCATCACCCTGTGCCACGGGCGGGGTCGGTCCCTGCTCCTGCAGTGTGCCCATGGGGGGCTGTGGCCGGGGCCAGGGACTGATGCTCTGTGTGTGCAGGTGCCAGCACGTCCCCGGGAAGCAGCCTCAACTCCAGTGAGGAGCACCTCAACACCCCAGCCGACACCTACCCCACCAAAGGTGAGCCCTGGCCTTCTGGCAGGATCCTGGAACAGCCATCAGGCTGGATTAGTGTGTTCCCAGTCAGGAACGGATTGGCTGGGATGGAAACAGCTACAGCTGGAGCAGCTGTAGTTAGGAAAAAGGAGTAGGGGGTCTTTCTTCTCCCAAAAGTAAGAGGAGGAATGGGAAGACCTGAGCTTGTTTCTCCCCACTAGCTAAGCTTGGTGACACGCAGGAGCTGGAGGAGTTCATCGCAGACCTGGATAAAGCCTTGGAGGGTACGTGCCCAGCCCTGATCCCTGCACTTCCCACATGCTGGGGCTCCTCCACTGCCCCTGGCCAGCACCCCTCCTGCCTGGGGGTCCTGCTGCAGGGTGCTTGGAGCCTGGGTTTGGGCTTTTCTTTTGGTGAGGGGCTCGTGGATGTCACCTCCCTCTTCAAGCTCTTTCAGCTGGGGCAGAAACACAAGGGCTGCCTGTCTGGTGCCTCAGCTGATGAGATGGAGGTGCTGGTACCTGGGGAGGGGACTGGGGATGTGAAGGCCATGCTGGCCCTGGCAGTGATGCCCAACAGGACAACCTGCAGAGCTGTTGATGCTTCTGGGAAGATGCAGAGGTGCCTGTGGCTCTCTGCCTGCAGCCTCCCTCCAGCTCCTGCTTGGAGGCTGCTCTTTGCTCGAGGGGGAAAGGTGAGCAGGAGGAAAAGAGGATTTTTCCTTGTGGTATATCACAGCCCTGTGGAAATATCCCACCTGGGGGGAGGAGAGTGGGTCTGTGTGGTGGCAGGAAGGGGAATCCCAGCCTGTGGGTTGTGTTCTCCTGCTCCACGTTATTTCTGTCCTGGTGAGGGCCAGGGGGTGTCGCTGGGGAAGGGGGTGATGCTGTGCTGGGCATCTCTGGCAGCTCTGTGATCTGGGGAGGTTGGCTGCTCCCCAGTATCTTCCTTTCTGGGGAAATTGAGGCAGAGGCCACACTTCCTCTCGCAGGGGAACAGCGTGACAGGCTGGAGGCAGAGAGAACTTGAGTTCAAAAAAATAATGAGATATTTCCCCCTACACGGGCTGTGTAAGGCACAGTTCTGGTATCTGTTCCCTTCCCTGAGTATCCAGAATGAGGTGGCTGGTGGGAAGGGTTGCTCTGCAGGCCCCAGACGTGCTGGGAGGGAGTGAGACAGGAAGGGGACCAGAGCTGCCTCCCCTCCCCCAGATTTCTGCTCTAACCCTGCTGCTGGTGGAGCCAGGGGGTTCAGTGCAGCCCCCCCCGCCATCCTCTCACCATCTTCTTTCCCCTCTGTATCACCCTGCAGAGATGTGAGATGTGGTTCGGGGTTTGCAGAGGAGGATCCCCAGCAGCTGAGCCCCCTGATGCCTGCCTGATGCACCCTCTGCTTCTGCACTCACTGCTGGCCTGGGGATGGCTCCTGGGGCCGTGCTGGGGCCGGGGACAGGCACAGGGACAGGCGCTGGGGACGCATCTGGCCGTGGGACAGTGGTGCCAGCGCCGAGAGAGGAGAACCCTGCGTGGGCACCGGGCTCTGCCCTGCACAGGGCTCGTGGCTCCTGGGACTGAGTGGGTTGAGGAGGTCTGTGCCACCGATGAAGCCCTTGGAGATCCCCTGGGTGATTTTGGGGAAGGACATCAGTGTCCCCTCCAGATTGGGAGAGCCCGTTCCCCCGGTGGCATCTGTCACAGGTGGTGGCAGCCACTGCTGGCCCTTTGCTTTGCATGGGGACCCCCAAATCTGGCCCATCCCTGCCCCCCAAGTGCCTCTGCCCCAGCTGCTGCTGCTGTAAATACTGTAAAAAGGATGTTTTGGGCTGTACAGAGAGAATGTGTTTCTATAAACAGGATTTTAAGCCTCTCCTTGTCTTTGTCCATCCTTTTCCTGTCGGTGGGGGTGGAGCAGGGATGCCTGGGGGCTGCCAGCTGGTGGGACTGGCACTGGAAAAATGAGGTGAGAGACCTCAGGGAAGCAAATTCAGCAGCATGTGCCTGCCTGAAGGTGGGTTTTGGAGTGAGAATCCCTGGTCCTCCATTCCACTTGGCTCTTGGACAGTGTGGGGTGGGAGAGGGGGCAGAGTCCATCCCTTTCCCCCTCCATCTGCTCAGGTAGATGGGCCACTGCCTGCTCCTCTTGCTGGGTGGGTGACACTACCCTGGTACCACTTCCTCTTGTTACTGCCACTGGAACAGCCCCAGAAACAAACCTCCCGGGATGTGGGTTTGCAGCCACAACTGAGCTTGGACAGAGGTTTGGCTTTGAGTGGGATGATGGTTCCCCCCGGGTTTGCCCTCCTTCGTTTCCCTCCTGAAGTTTCCCCTCCCCGGGAGCTGCCCCGTGTGCGTTGGAATGACCGAGAAGGAACGTGAGTGTCTGCTCGTCCCAGGGCTGGCATCAGTGCCCTCCCTCCCTCCCTGGGTTCTGCGTGTGGAGCAGGGTCACGCGTGGCTCTGCTGCAACTGTCTGAGCAGGAAACGGGCAGTTTCGGTTTCTTCCCTCATCCCTGGCCGTGGGTGCCGAGCAGGAGGATGTTGGTCATCTCCTCTGCCAGCCCCTGGACTTGGAGCTGCCGCAGGAGTCTGCAGAGCCCACGCTGATCCGAGCGCGGGGAGGGAGGGCAGGAGAGGAGCGGGGGCTTCTGGGCAGCCTCAGAGAGCCCCGGGCAGGGCAGAGCAGGCACGGGGACACTTTCTCCTGTCGCTGTCCCCGTGTTGTGTGATGTTACCGCTGATCTCCCTCCCAAACAGACCCCAAAGGAGCAGCCAGAAGATGGGGGTGAGAGTGCGTGGCAAGGTGGTGACGTTTGGAGTGCCTGTGACACTCAGGGCTCTGCCCACGATGCTCCGTGGGGACACACAGCCCGCATCACCGGGGCCAAGGGGACAGGAGCCAGGGGCACTGTCCCCGCCGTGCTGATGGCAGCAATCCCCGTGTCGCTGGGCACGTTTTTCCCCTCTGAGTCACTGCACGCAGCGTTTCACCCCCGCTGTCTCGCTCTGACTCCGGGGTTCGTTATTCCACCCACGGTCCCGTTCTGCCTCTGGGCAACACCAGCTCCTCCCCAGCCTGTGTGGGAAGGGCTTTTTAACCCACCAGCCCCAGTGCGATCCCCGACGGGTGACGGTGGTGCTCGGGCTGTCGCTGTCCCCAAGTGCCACTCACCCCCTCACCCCCGCGGCAGCGGCAAACGTTGCCAAGCAGCTACAGAAATAAATATTTTCCAGCCCCAAATCTGCCGTGGCTGATCCACCCCTGCAGCCACAGCACAGCCCCGGGGAAGCTCCGGAGGTTGTTTGTTGTGAGCGTTGCCAGGAGCGGGTTGGGGTGTCACCCCGGGCTCCTGCAGCCCCTCAGGGTTGGGATGGGTGTGTGGGTGCTGCCCATGGCCCGCAGCTGAGCTGTCCCATCCCATCCCTGTGCAGGAGCCTCTCCGGGGCTCATGGGACCTCCTGCTCCCCCAGCTGTCAGCATCTGCTTGGGTTGGGGCTGGGGGGACAGTGGGATGGCATTGGACACCCCACCGTGCCAGTGCTGTGTGGGGGTGACAGAGGACCTAATGCCAGCCTTTGTCCTGCCCAGCCTGTGCCAACAGCAGCTCCACCTAAACCTCCATGATGGGCTTCCCAGGGCAGTCGTGGAGTCACCACCCCTGGAAATGCTAAAAACAACATGTAGATGTGGCACTTGGGGACATGGTTTAGTGGTGGGGGAATGCTTGGACTCTGATCTCGGAGGGCTTTTCCCACCTAAATGATCCCACGATTCTATGGCTTGGTGAAACAGATCCCTTTGGGCACAGTGGCTCTTCTGCTGGGACAGGGGCTGGACCTTTTTTCCTGGGAATCTCGGGAAGGGTGTGAGAACACACCTGGATGTCTGGGTGGCACTGAGGTGGGGTGCTGTGGCGTGCACTGCCCCGCGGAGGGACAGGTGCCCAAGGGCTGTTGTGTAGCCTGGGGGGACCCCCGACCCCCACCATGCTCATGGGGGTGCTGAGGCTGAGCAGGGCGGTGGGTCAGAGGGTCTGTGGGTCGATGGGTCGGAGGGTCGGAGGGCCGCGGTGGCCCCGGTGTGCACGTGCCGTGGAGCGGCTGCAAAAACCATCAGCACCAACACGCACGTCCTGCGACACCGCCGCTCCTCCCCTGGGCCCCCTGCCCGCGGCAGCACGGGGCGGGAGGAGAGGGAGCAGGGCCAGGGAGCAGCTGGGATGGGCGGGATGGGGTGTGGGGCTCTGAAAAGAGCCCTGAGAGAGACCTGATGGGACCCCGGTCTCTGGAGGGATTGGAAGCCGAGGGTGCCGGAGCTGCCCTGGGGGTTCTGGAGGCCCCACCATCAACCGGGAGCTGCCGGTCCGGGCTGTCGGGGTGCAGGGAGAAGAATGCCAGCCCCGGGCAGGCTGGAGCAGGGCTGTGGTGCTGCACAGGGTCCCCGGCGAGGCTGTCCCCGCTCCCTGAGCGCTCCCCGCCGCGGTGCCCCAGCGGCTCGAGTGTTTTCTCAGAAGCAGCAGCAGCGTGCGCGGGACGGGATGTGGGTAATAACCGGAGCCGAGGCGCCTGCACGGGCCCCCTGCCTGCAGCTGTTCCTGCAAAACCAGCTTTTCCGGAGCCCACCTGGGCCTTTGCCAGCGGAGCAGGCACTGAGCACCACACACTCCCTCTCAAGGCCCTCAGTGAGCCCCCTTCCCCAGGCTGGGGGGACGCAGCTCCAGCCTGGAGCAGATCTGGCACCCCGAGGACCCAGATGGATGTGCTGGGACATGGAGGGGACAGTTTTAGCAGACGTGGCCCTGACTGGAGACAGTCACCTCCCTCACCGACTGCTGGGTGGGCAGCCAGAAACCTCCCTGGTGGCCACCACTGTAGAGACCACCTGTGGGCAGGTGTTGCCTGTGTCTCCCTGCTTTTCCCCTCTCTATATTCCCGGGAAGAAGGCATCTATCGAGGCATCCCTCAAGGCAGGGCCACCACACCATGCAGGTGCCAGGGCTTCTGTCTGTGCCTGGGAGCTGATGGTCTCTCACCATCCACCCCCAGGGCTTGATGTTCCTCGATGAAGTTGCTGGGAAAGATCCTGGAGGGATCTTTCCAGCCTCTGAGGGGGTAAAAAGAGTCACCTAGAAGAAAAAAGAGGCTCCCCTAAAAGAAGTTGTTGCCACTCTGTGCTTCAAAGAGGAACCTCAAGCCTTCGGGGAAGGGAAGTCCCCAGCTGTCCAGACGGTCTGGTAGTAGTGATGTAAGAGGCTGTAACTATTTTGGGAGACACTGTAACCCTGGGGATGACACCTGCTTTCTTTCCTGTAAAGCCCTCTCACATGTTTTGGTGGAATCATAGAATGATTTGGGTTGGAAAGGACCTTAAAACCCATCCACTCCCACCCCCTGCCATGGGCAAGGACACCTTCCACTATTTGAGGTTACTCTAAGTCCTGTCCAACCTGGTCTTGGACAATTCCAGGGATGGGGCAGGCATAGCTTCTCTAGGGAACCTGTGCCAGAGCTTCCCCACCCTCACAGGGAAGAATTTCTCCCCAATATCCCATCTAACCCTGCCCTCTGGCAGTGGGAAGCCATTCTCCCTTGTCCTGGCACTCCAGGCCCTTGTCCCCAGTCCCTCTCCAGCTCTCCTGGAGCCCCTTTAGGCACTGGAAGGGGCTCTCAGGTCTCCCTGGAGCCTTCTCTTCTCCAGGAGAACCCCCAGCTCTCCCAGCCTGGCTCCAGAGCAGAGGGGCTCCAGCACTTGGAGTATGGTGAGATCTTTCCACATTTACAAGAAAGAAGGGAGAAGTTGGGCCCCTTTGGGTTTTCCAGGAGGCTGGTGCCTGCAGACCAGGGTTAGGAAATTCCTCATCTGCGCTGGGACTGTGCCAGCTCCTGAAACAGTCCTTGGGGAGTCTCCCTGTGACCCCAAATCACCCGGGGGACAGGAGAGCTCCGCAGCAGGGTCAGTGGGGAGTGGGAGCTCCCCACTCCCAGGGATGCCAGAATCCATGGATAGGAGGAGGCAACCTCCTCTGGGTCCCCCCTGAGCTTCAGACCGATCAGGGGGGTTTGGTGTTTCTTTCTCTGGCCACTGCTCAACCTCTGACTTCATCCCGCAGGTATCCAAAGAGACAATGCCGGTGGTGGTGGCCAGCAGGGCATCCTGTCCCCCCCCCCAGTCACTTCCCGGGATTGTTCTGCTCCCTTGGCCAGGGGCTGGATGGGGAGTCCCCCGGGAGCGGGAAGGGACGAGCCTCACGTGCCTGGTGGCTGCTGGAGTTTCGTTCAGCTCTGGAGCACGGCTGGGGTGCAGCAGGAACCCGGCTAAGGTCATCCTGTCCCTGGGCTTGCTCCTGCCACCATTCCCTCCGCTCCACTAGGAACTGCCCTCCTGCCCTGGGCTGTGGGGCAGGAGCCCCAATCCCATCCCAGCCAAAACCCTTTGTCTGACAGCACCGAGACTGACCCAGGTCAGGGGTGAACTCGAGGGAGAGCAGCGGATCATGATGGAACTGGGACGTGCTCTCTGCTGGCTTAGCTGGCATTAACCTCATGATTAAACTAATTAATGCAACACCAGGAGAATCCAGCCCTGTGTCACCATTCCCTGGCTCCAAGCCTCCATTCAGGCAGGGGCTAAGCCTGCAAATACCTGTCCCTGACATAATCCCCCCTATTTCTGCGCCTGGAGGCCGGGGGCTGTTCCAGCAGTGATCTTTGGACCTGGAATATCTGCTTTTCCCCTTGTAATTCCCTGTGGTTTGGGAGCACAGTGCTCAGCCACATGCTCCTTCCTTGTGTGTCCCATGTCCTGCCCATCCAACTGCTGAAGGGAATGTTTAGATCATAAAGTTCAGTTCTTTTCCCATTTTGCTGTGATATTTCCTTTTTTTGGGGGGGGTGTGGTGTGTTCACAGAATCCCGGAATG